TGGTGTTTCAGTAGGTTTAGTTAGGACAATATTCTGAGAGAGTGTTTTCCAGGTCCTTTTTATATCTCCTCTTGTGTTAGTGAATCTACTGGAGTAGTATAGTTGTTGGCTTTCTTTATTACTTAGGTGAGGACTGATGAATAGTGTTTAAGAATATCTTTGTGTATTAGGCCTTGTGATGACACTCTTCAGGTCACTTGTTCTATCTAGGCTGGAATATTGCTGCACACTAACAGCACCTTTCAAGGCAGGTGAAAAGGCTGACCTAGAAAATGTACAGAGAACCTTCACGGCGCGCATAACGGAGATAAAACACCTAAATTACTGGGAGCGCTTGAGGTTCCTAAACCTGTATTCCCTGGAACGCAGGCGGGAGAGATACATGATTATATACACCTGGAAAATCCTAGAGGGACTAGTACCGAACTTGCACACGAAAATCACTCACTACGAAAGTAAAAGACTTGGCAGACGATGCAACATCCCCCCAATGAAAAGCAGGGTGTCACTAGCACGTTAAGAGACCATACAATAAGTGTCAGGGGCCCCGAGACTGTTCAACTGCCTCCCAGCATACATATGGGGGGATTACCAACAGACCCCTGGCAGTCTTCAAGCTGGCACTGGACAAGCACCTAAAGTCAGTTCCTGACCAGCCGGGCTGTGGCTCGTACGTTGGTTTGCATGCAGCCAGCAGCAACAGCCTGGTTGATCAGGCTCTGATCCACCAGGAGGCCTGGTCACAGACCGGGCCACGGGGGCATTGACCCCCGGAACTCTCTCCAGGTAAACTCCAGGTATATTGCTTTTCATATTGGTGTTTCTTATCAATGGATTTCAGAATGGTGCTGGTTAGCCATGGGCAACCAAGCCGTTTGTTTGTGATCTGTTTTGTTTTATAGGACAATGTTTGTGTCATGTGGGTTTTCGATACATGGATGGGGTAAGAATACTCACGTAGGCTGGTAGTACGTATAATATATAACGGGAAGTATGGAAAGCGCCAACAGCCGACCTGTCTCTCTCTCTGCCTAACTACGACTGACTCACAAGTGTCTACAGTGCGAGGGTGTTTGAAATCCTGCTATGGTCAGCAGCAATATGAATACAGTCAATGATTCACACAGACGGTTGGTAGTGAGTCATCTACTGGTACAACTGGTTACTGGTAACTGGTTACTAGGAACGGGTACTACTACTGAGAGCTCGGCGAATGTTTGTTGTATAGTCTAAGTAATTTGTTAAGAAAAATGTCTGTCCAGTCATCAATACCATTGGCCTTGGAGAATTCTGTAGGCCAGTCAACAGTCTCTAGGTCAGGTGTGAACTTCCTTATAGAGGCCTCATCATGGAGTCTAAATGAAACTTTGTTGTATTCAAGTGGTGGTTTACTAATGTTTGTCAAGAGGAAGGTAGGGTAGTGGTCTGTAGTGCTATCTGTGATTATCCCTGATTTAAGGGGGGCTAGTATATTGGTCCATATGTGGTCTATTATGGTTGCACTTGTTTCAGTGAGCCTGGTTGGTTTAGTTATTGTTGGTATGAGAAGTGTGTTGTTCATATGGTTGATGAAATCAGTTACAGGCTGATCATCTAGTAGGCCAAGGTTGATGTTGAAGTCTCCAGCTAAGAGAAGGTGGTGCTTATTCATTTGTCTGTTTGTTATTAGTACCTTTAATTTCTCACTGAAATTTGGGATGTTTGTGTGGGGTATCCGGTAAATGGCACCGATTGTTATAGGCATCTTAAAGTTTTTTACAGTAAAATTAGCAAAAATGTATTCTCCATATTCATCACTAAAGCAAGTGGTGCTAATACAAGATAATTGGTTAGAGTAATAGATTGCAATACCACCCCCAACTTGGTATGGTCTGCAGTTGTGGATTGCTGTGTATCCTGGTAGAGGGTAGATATCTATTGTGTCCTGCTTAAGCCAGGTCTCAGTAAGAATAATACAGGAGAAGGGTGTCTTTAGTGATTCAAGGAGTGCCAGGAGGTCATCATAGTGTTTGCTTAAGGACCTGATGTTGTAGTTAAGTACTGATAGACTTTTAGCATTGTTTAGGATAGTGCTGGCTTGTGATGCTGTGTAGTAAAGGCAGTTACTTTCCAATAGGTTTTGGTTGTGTGTCAGATTATGGAGGTTTAGATCAGGGTCAACGTGATCAATCATCTTCTAGGTTTAAATTATGGTTATTTATATCCTGAGTTGTGTGTTGAGTTTTAGTACTGATATCTGTAGTGGTGGGAAGTTTGGACAAGTATATAGCTATAGCATTTTGGTCATGTAGAGTATAGTCACTAATACACATAATGGAGTTGGTGTTGTCTATGTGTTGTGCTGGAATGAGCTAAAGTATAACTAGGTATAAACTAATAATATAAAAAAACAAATTAAATATAGCACAAGACTCTTACTTGTAATGACTTTGGTATAGTCTATGTATTGAGCTAGAATGAGCTATAGTACAACTGAGATTATAATTATCTTCATGGGAAAACCTAGAGACAGAGAAATTTAGCACCCTCATTCCCAACATTGTTACCTGGCTAAGATATGTTAATGATATGTTGGTTTTCTATCCGAGACGTCTTGATATCCAGGCCCTAATCGACAAGATTGATGCTGCCAAGCCATCAATAAAGTTTACAATTGAACTCAAAAAGATGGCAAACTTACTTTCCTCAACGTCCTCCTGTGCAGATCTCCTGGCAGTAACAAACTTCTCTTCAAAGTGTGTAGAAAACCTACCAACAAGGACAACCTTGTACACTTCTATTCACACGAAGACACCCACACTAAAAGAGGAGTCCTCATTGGCTTCTTGAGAGCTCTTTGCATCTCCAGCCCTTGTTTTCTTGAAGAATGTATTTACATAACACAAGCCTTTATGTCTTCGGTTTCCATCTTTCTTCACCCAAAATTACAGACTCAAGGCACAAGCTATCCTCAACAAACCGCCTGTAGAACAGCCCCCTAAGCAGTTCATAGTGCTCCCATGTGGTGATGCCACAAATACTTGCTGGGCACTTGCTAAGAGTGACATCAATGTTTTCACCATAAACACATCAGTGAGCATCATGCTGAGGGCAGTGGTTTAGACTGTCTATGATGTTAGTAATAGTGATAAGGGCAGTGGTGTCTATAATGTTAGTAATAGTGATAATGTTAGCGATGAGTGTAATGAGGTTAACCACATTGACATTAATGTTGAATACAATACTGTTGATAAATGTCATGAAAACAATGTTGGTAGTGGTGTTGGTGATGACAGTTATAGTGATGCATGTAATGCTAGTGGAGGAGGGAATGTGAGTGGTGGTGCCACCTATCATACATTCACACATGAACAGCATCGTGCTCTGTGTAAACAAAGACTCCCACGAGGCCTTATAACTGGAAGTGTACTTAAAAAACTCATGGACACTGATAAGGTCTGCATTTATATGAAAATTTTTTTCATTATGCTGAGAAACTAAGCAAGATCCCACAACTTCTATAATGGATCAAAACTCGTATTAACTTTCTATATTTACTCAGGCATTCTCTGACTTCTTGACAGCAACTGATTTATTGCACAAACTTTGATAATACAGTGGTACCTTGACTTATAACACAGACAGAAGGAGATAGAGATAGCCAAAGCAAATCAGCCAGCCAGCTGGCCACCCAACCAGCTGAACATGTATTACATGTGTTCCAGAATTGTTTCTCTTTTTTTAAGGCATACGTTATAGAACATTTTGGCAGGATGACACTACCAGTGGTATCAAAATTGAAAGGATGTTACACATTGGTTATTATTAAGGTTTTTGATATTTCCTCCATATGTCCTGCGAGTGGTGATGTATCTGAAGCTCGCTCCTAACTTGGATTTTGGCTTGCAACTTGAAGCAAAAAATTGACCGAGCGACAGCTCATAACTCGGAAAACTTGTAATGGGGCACTCGTAAGTCAAGGTACCATTGTAGTTCTTTTAGTGCTCCTCACAGCCCTAATATTCCTCACAACCCTTTGTAACTCTACCTCTGTTAGCCTCTGCACCTCTGGCTCCTCTCTGCTTCAGCAACACCCTCTGCCCTGCAGAGCTGTATAACCTTAATGGGTTTAGTGCTTGTTTTTTATTATTATCTGACAATGCTTATAATGCAACCTCATCAAAAGTTGCCTATCATGGCTGCCTAAATTTGCTTAAAACTTTTCTTGGGGGAGGCAGATGAGATGAGCCTTGCTTCAATATGTTCATCCCAAATCTTATCTGAACTAGACTACAGAGATCAACTTTGATCTTCAGCCTCCCTTGCTTGCTACTATTCTCTAAACATGAGCCCATTTATCATGTTCTTTGGACCTTTTTGTTCTTCCCTGGATGAGAGCCTGTATACAGAGGCATGTGTCCCCTCTTTGGATGAACAATGTGAAACCTGTTGTTTCAGCTATTTTGTCCTTTTTGTGGTTAATAGTAAGCCTGGTTTATTTCGTTGTTATAATAAATGAAACTTATTTCATTGTTGTCTCCACTTGCTGTACCCCTTTCCTCTTTGTAGTTGTACTCCAATGACATTCCTTAATTTATCAGTTCTTCATGTTCACCCTGCATCTGCAGTTCTTCTCTCCTGGGAAGCTCTAATGATTCAAGTTTGCTTCTCCCCATTTCCATGCCTTCCTACCACAACCTTATGCTCTCTCTTGAACACTCACTCATTCTTTCTCGGGCTACAGCTGTATACACTGATAGGGTAAAACAGTGGATGTGAGAAGTGATACCACAATTAAAGCTCAAGTTTGTTGCTACTCTCCTCTTCTACTTTCCTTCTGCATTACTAAACATAATTTGCCTTGGCTCCTTCACTACTAATAGCCCAAAATATTTTGGTTTATTTTTTTTTCTTTTACAAGTATTGAAAATTATTAAAAAAATATAAGAAATTATTATTATTATGCCATTTCCCTTATGTGAAGTTGAAAAATTATATAAAAGGAAAAAATCATACAAAACTATTATACTGTACTAATTTACTTTTGCATAATTTTCCAATATAAATTATTTTATTAGCAAGTATATCTTTTTGATTATAATAATAATAATTAGCGAGTATAATTAAACACCTAGTTATTCAATACACAAAAAATTTGGTTTACAACCCATTCATCTTGAAGACAGCCAAACTCTTCACATTACAGTAAACATACATTTTATGGTATAAATTTTCCATCCCGAGCATTCTGAGCCATTGTAAGAAGACCAATGAATGATTCAATTGCATTCATGTCAACTGAGAGGGTCTTCATCTGTAATAACAAAATAACTATAATCAGGTCTATTATATGCAGTAATTCATAAAAAAATTGGAAAAAATTACCTAAAATATTCATAAAATACAGTAGGGCCCCACTTATATGGCAGGTTACGTTCCTGGCTACCGCTGGAAAGCAGAACACCATTTTTTCCACTTATAAATGCCAGATAACAAGTTTACACTAACATATATTAAGTTAGCAATAGAACTAGGCATTAAAAACATTAAAAAACCAAAATACACACACAGTATACTCATTACTTACCTCAAAATATTTGTAGTCTTAATGTAGGGTGAGGGGAGTAGTACTGTAAGAAGTCAGGTGTGGGAGGTATGGTAGCCTGCCAGGCCACCTCACCCAAACGTAATATACTATGACATTTAAAGTGCCCTAGAGCAATGTACAGTACACTCATTACTTACCTTAAAATATTTGTAGTCTTCATGCAGGGTTTGAGTAAATGATATAAAAACAAATAAATGAGAGAGAGAGAACGAGTAAATGAGAGAGGACAGAGCCGCAGAGTATGTAAACAAACAGACGAATGAGTCTGTTTTTCGTTGATACACGTTCGTTCCCATGTCTGTGAATCTTATACCATAATATAAAACACTTACATTGTGTACAAGTTGTCTCCACGGTAAAGAAGAATAAATAAAAGAGCAACACTCCCGTTCTCATGTAACACACCATTTTAAGAAGGAATAATGCTCTGAGTGAAGGCATATGATAGGAATAGTTTTCTATGGATACCCCATTAATACTACTGTGTACACATTTTCTTTGGTGTTGAACTAGAGAAAATGTTAGTCTTTCTGACAAGAATGGAAAAATATTTCATATTTATGTTAATTTATTCTACTGTGAGGTGTATTTATCATGTTTATATGTTACCTAGCATGTTTATTACATAATTTTGACAAAAAATATCACAGATGGATTAATTAAAATGTTTATATTAATGTAATATATGACATTTAATGCGCCTCAGTGATTATTAATGTGTGTTATCATTAATAATATGGCATCTTGAAGACTAAGAAGACAACTCTTAGTGGTTTTAACTTGTACCTGCATGCCAGCACAGTGTGTTAAGTTTATTTAGATACAGGTACACAAAAGTATAATTATCAGAGTATATATAAAATATGAAATATAACTTTAAAACACTTGAAATTTTGGAAGTTTCCAGACATAATGGAGAGTCGTGCTCATGGAGAATGTAAATAAACTGGGTGGGGCACGGTGACTGTATTAGAAAGTCAGGTGGGGAAGCCATAGAGAGAGTTTTGGTCATAATTTGAAATGTCCATATTAGTGGAATGCTGTAAGGTGAAACGCCATAAAGCAGGGCCCTACTGTATACACATTATAGAGACAACAATTCCAGAAGCAAGGGGCTAGTAACCCCTTCTCCTGTATGTATTGCTAAATATAAGAAAAACTTTCTTCTTTTTTGGGTCACCCTACCGTGGTGGGAAACAGCCAGTATGAGAGAAAACACACACACACATGCATGCATGCATTAGCACATGTATGCGCGAGAGTATTTAGCATTTGTTTTATACACTGACCATTTCCTTTTGATGCAGGGAGGCCCAACGAAGAAACATCAGTCACCATCCTGTGATCCCTAGTTGCTTTTCCAGAACAGCAGAGACAACTTTCTCCAATAATAACCCACTATCACAACATCCTCACTTTGTTTTACAACTGCGGGTATTATAATTCTTGCCTCCAAGACTCAATAAGATTTCCATGAATCCCTTCAGTGTTCCAGCTCCAAAGACTACATCAACTAAGACCACTCTATCCAATTTAACACATTCACATATCAGTTGGATGTTTAACCTTTGCCTCTCAATCCTCTTTCTTCTTTCACATCTTTCTAGCACTTAAACTGACAACTACATCACATTTTATCCACCTCAGATCTATAAACCCTTTTAATTTTATTAAGATGACTAAGGACCATTATCAACAGGAATGATAGGGCTGTTGGCCCACAAGTTTGGGTGTTTCCTAGTTACAAAGATCATACTGCACAGTACAAGTAGTGGAGAAAGATGCCTTTCATTAGTAGATGCTCAAGTTAAAATTCATATAAAAGCATGCTGTATTTATCTTTCTTGATGCGCCCTGAAGTCAATAATAATTTCTCTGGTATTGTGTTAATTTAATTTAGTTTACATAGCAGGGGGAGGTTGCTTAAACTGGATGCATATATTACAGAAATAGAGATGATTTTGATTGGTTTTAGTACTCAAAATAGCTTGAAATTAAGCTCAAAGTAGCGGAAATGTTAAATTTTTGCTGAAGTTCAAGAGTAAACAAATCACATCACGCATCCAATACACGTCAACTGGGGGTCTAATGTAAGTTTACTAATGCAGTGATATTATTTATACAATTATTACAATATTGCATAACAGTAAATCTTCTATTATTTTGGTGTGAATAAAAATTCTTTGTGAAAAAAAAAAAAGTCAAAATGAAATTCTTGTGTAAAGCCTGGAAAAGTAACTAATAAATAGAGGAAATGTTATTTTAGTACCAGAAATGCCTGCACTGTTTATTCTGAACCCTATTTTGAAATTTAAATATTTTGAACTTTGTGTGAAATTGGTCAAATTACCAATTTCCAATCACTTTACTGGGTAGTTGAAATAATTGATTGGGTGATTTCTTGTGCTCAATAGATAAATGGAATACATACTAGTGAAATAACTAAGAATTTGGTCTAATGGAACAATGTAATTGGCCAAAAGTAGGACTCAAACCGGGCAAAATCGCCAATGCGTAAATATCACTGACACAGCAAAATTCGCAAGAGCGTAATTTCGTCAATTTTTTTACAAAATTTCGTACTTTTTGTTTTATTACCTTCAGAAAAAGATTCTCTACCATTTCATAAGAAAAAATAATATTTTTTCTTAAATTCTTGAATCCTGTGAGGAATTTTCAGATAGGGGTCTAGACCCTCTAAGAGTTAAGGGAGTTTGTTATGGTATTTGGAAACTAACTGATGAAAACAATAACACTGTTAGGTGCCTAGGATTGGGCAACATAAAAACTAATTGCTAACCTGACTTCCAAAGTATTCCACATCTAGACAGATCTGAATGCGAATCTTGTCATCATCAGAAAGACCACCACTAACTTCAGCACCACCTTGAGCTCCCCTGTCCCTTGCACGCTTCAGTCTCTTAAGACTTTCTTCCATCTTATGAACAGAACTTAAAACATCATATGTCAATTTTCTATATCTGAAAAAGCATACTTGGTTAATCATACAAATAACAAAAAACTACAGTAGACTTTTCTTAAAATTAAATAAAGTACAGTAATACATATACTGTACTTGTTATATTCACAATCCAAATTTAAATTTTAGATTTAAACTGTCTAAAGACCATAAAACAATGCTGGGAAGAGTAAATTACAATGTAAAAATTATCTAATAAAATTTGATGGAAGAAAATTTTGTATTCTGTTTACTTTCTAGTATTCACTTTAATAAAAATTTCTTGTGCAGTAGTGCACAGTGCAAGGTCATGCTAAATGAACATTTACTTTAAGTTCAAGTAGAAAGCAAAGATATGATTTGTAAAAATAGAATTTATTAAAATGATAATGTGGAATGTAGCTAAAGTCATCAGCCATCAATTACAGACAGAATAACCCTTTTATTCTTTCAATGGAGAAACTATAAGCTTTACTAAATAATCTCAAGCATAACAATTGCAACAGCTGAAGAAAACAATACAAGAGAGAAAACAGTGCTGCAGTAGCAAGTAACTCACTGTTCAGATACGTCAGTGCACACCCTTGTTATCCAATGAACTATCAGATCACAGTCCACTTTTCCAGAATTATCATTAGAAAATGCTGATAGTACTGATGTTGCAGCTGCAATATATGGCTGGTGTGATGTGGGAGGAGCACGGTTTGTACGTCGATAGAGACGAGGTGTATCTGCCACTTGACGTAGTGACATGCTTGTTGCTCCAATCAGATCCTGGATTATTACTTCACTAAGTCCACTTACATGTTTTGACATTTTAATGCTTTGTTCATTAAGTTCAGCTGAAAGAATGCAATAAATTAAAAATTATTTTTATGCTAAAGAACACGAGAAAAAAAGATTATACATGAGGTAAGAACGATAGCATGACAAATGAACAGAGAATTAAACCCTTATCAAGAAAAATACAGTTTGCATGAGCATAATTTTCTAAGCAGAACAATGAAAGGATAAATTAAACCAAAATAAAAATAATGGTTTTATGGTGTGTTAAAGGTGGCACAAAATGATCACTTGGCAGCAACAACTTGTATTACAGTAGACCATTATATTACACAATAGTTATGCTCCTAAAAATGCCGTGTTACGTAAATCTGCGTTAAAAAAACTGAAGAACTTATGGGAAAAATAGGGTTACATTCCTATGAGCCCAAAAAAAGCCAAAAACTTCTTTTTATACTTCCAACCTCCATCTCCAATGTCATTTAATAATGTCATTTAATAATGTTGACAATTATCTATTGTAGATGAAATACACTCAGCTCTAAAAACAAACACAGCCCACAATATATCACAACTACTGCTAAGACTGTGCATTTATCAAAAATAACAGGTGAGGAAAACTGAAAGACTTACCATCTATAAGAGACAATTTATCAGCTGGAAGGTGGGCCACAAGTGGTTCAACTGACTGAGAGTACAAAGAAGGAAGTTTCTGGGCCATTTTTTGAACATCATGAACTAGACCAACTGCAGTATCTCTGGTATAGCTTGACTGTCTTTGTGATTTGTCTCCTGATTTTGTTGATAATCTGTCACTGTTAGAATTCAGTGATTCTCGTGGCTTTGTGGGAGTGTGGGTTTCCTTGGTGAGCTTTGATGGAGTTAATGCCTAAAAATGAGAATATCTGATACATGAATTAATGCATTTTAAATGCTTATCATTTGCAGCCTTCAAGAACACTAATATATGACATAACATATACAACATAACAAGGATATGAAAATACAGCCTCTCCTCACTTAGCGACATACTCGTTTACCAACACTTCAGACTTACGACAGGCTCTCTGACCAGTACAGTGGACCCTCAACTAATGGTGGCATCGTCTAATGCCAAAATTGACTAACAGCTCTCTTTGGCGTCAAAATATTGGCTCTACCAACGCCGAAAAACTCATCTAAAGGCTTTCGTCCTGAATGTGTCCATGTGCCCTGAGCGGGCCCAGCCACTCCAAGACTTCATGTATAGCCAGTGTGCCACTGTTTACAAGCCGCTGCGGTCGATTCCATGCGTACATGCGATATATTTTGTATTATTCCATTGTTTTTAGTGCTTGTAACTGCTAAATAAGCCACCATGGGCCCAAAGAAAGTTCCTAGTGCCAGCCCTGTGATAAAGAAGGAAAGAAACACAATAAAATTCAAGAAAAAACTTGTAGCAAAGTACCAAAGTGGAGAAGGAAGAGAGAGGGGAGAATGTGCCTTCTGCAGTGATTCAGTGATTTTACGATATGTACAATACTAAAGCAGCAGGTATCGATAAAGGCTATAGTGCCAGTCAGCAATAAAGCGTAGAATTAACAGTGTAGCAAGTAAGTTAAGCGAGTAAGCGATAGAAAAAGACACGAAAGTAACTCTCCAATGTTGTTAGATGTGTGTTTATCTGCTGAACATGTGCCCGCCTGCTATCTTCCACTACCCTAAACCTCTGCCAGCATCTCCTCCATCAAGCTAACTAATTAAACTAACATCTCCCCCAAGGTAAGTGTAAATATAAAAATGTAAGCATAAAAGTAAATATAAGTGTAAATATAAAAGGACTCCAATGGAAATACATAAGTCACTCTGACATTTTTTGGGATATCCTAGGTACTTTACACATATGATAATCTATGTAACTGTATTTGTGTATACCTGAATAAACTTATTTATAAATTAAAATGTAAATATTTCTTATTTATAAATTACATACATTGTGTAAGTGATGGTGGTGGTGGCAGAAGCTTCCACATTCACCAACATGGCTTCTCTCAGTGGCGGCCCTTAAACCCAACAACAACACTTACACCATTTACTCCTCTTATACATTATGACATACAGTGGAACCTCTACTTGCGAGTTTAATCCGTTCCATGACCTTGCTCGCAACTGGATTTGCTCGTTTGCAGAGTCAATTTTCCTCATTTAAATTAAGTGAAATGCATTAATCTGTTCCAGTGGAATTCTGTACTTCAATAATTTCGCTAATATTTATCTATCTCACTTAATCTAATATGACATAATAAACAATATAAACAATATACAAATATGATATATACTCTAAAATGAATAAAATATATCATTCATGTGGTGGTATGGGCAGTGTCGGTGGTGGACGAATTTGTCTGGAGACCGGGCAAAATACTTCATGAATAATTTAGCTAATATCATATATACGGCTTATTTATCTATCACAGTTCATCTAATATGACATAACAAACAATATAAATAACATAGAAACATGATATACATGTATACTCTAGAATGAATAAAATACGTCATTCATGTAGTGGTATGGGCGGTGTTGGTGGTGGACAAGAGTTTGTCTGGAGACTGGGCAAAATACTTCATGAATAATTTCGCTAATACCATCTATATGGCTTATTTATATATCACAGTTCATCTAATATGACATAACAAACAATATGAATGACATAGAAACATGATATATACTCTAGAATGAATAAAATATGTCATTATGTAACAGGTGGAGGCGGCCACAACCGCTCCCTCTTTGTTTTGGTAAACACTGCCATCTTGTGACAGCCTTTTGAAGCTGTCTATTATAATTCAAATTCAAATTCAAATTCAAAATTTATTCTCCTTAAGGATTACAATGCTGAGTTTACAGAATTTGATTATTGTGTGGTTTACATGTAGTAAAATAATAATTACAGAGTGTACCACTAGAACACCTAGCATGGCTAGGCATTTCGGGCAGACTTAAATTAAATCTTAAGTTTAAAATATTACAAAATTATGAGGTTAGTTGGTATTATGGCTAAGGACTAAATACTAGTTTGTGAGTTTAGCAATGTGAATGCTTTTGTTTTGGCACTATACATAGTTTCAGTTTTGGGATCACAGGCCAACTTATGACTATTAAAGTTTTCTTTTTTTGAGATTGAGTTTTGATTTTTCTGTTATGGTCAAAGGGGGGTGAGTGAGTGTAATGTTAACACCGGGTTTGGTATTCGTGTAATTATTTGACGGGGTGTATCGGGGAGAAAGATGTTTTCTTATGGTAGTTTTGAAGGTGATGAATGTTTTGGTTTTTTTGAATTTTTCAGGTAGGGTGATCCAGATTTTAGGGCCTTTGACAACATTGAATTTTTGAAAAGGGTTTTAGTGGGAAGGGGGAATGTCAAGAGATGTTTGTGTCGGGTGATGTCCCTGTGGGTTTTCTGTTTGCAATATCAAGAAAGCTTTTTGGGTCAAGGTTAATTTTGGGAAATTTAAGGTCTGTAGTGTAGCTGTACGTAAATTGTGGATGTACTGAAAGGGAGTAAGTTTAATCTATGAATGGGGGGGGTGTGTTGCCAGGGAGGGATTTAGTGATTATTCTTACTGTGGCTTTTTTTTGGGTTATTTTTTGGTTTTGGTGTGTTGCTGCTTTAAACCCCCAAGCCAGAAGCATAGGTGGGGGTAGGTATAAAAGGGGAATGGTATATGGGGAAAAGGGGCATTTTTGGGCACGTAGTATCGTATTTTGGGAGGTCCCAACTTTTTTGGGAAACTTTTTTTGGTTATGTGTTGGATATGGGTGCTGAAGTTCAGGTTGTTGTCGGGGTATAGGCCAGGAATTTCCCCTCATTATCCCTGGAAAATTAGATGTTGTCGATCTTAATGTTAATTTGCGCTCTCCTGCCTCTCCCAACAAAAATGTAGTATTTTTTGTCAGTGTTAAGCAAAGTTTATTGGCGTACCCAAGTCGATATTTTGATCAGCTCCTATTAAAAATGGTGTTGGGGTGGCAAATTAGGGGGGGAGATGCATAAGTCATGTCGTCACAAAGAGAATGGGGTTCAGGTGTTGAAAAACTTTTGGAAGATTTGAGTATATGGGGAAAGACAGGGGCCCAAGGACATTTCCCCTGCAGAACTCCTATAAGTGGCTGTATTGTTGATGCTGTGTCTTTAAGGGTGAATGATACCTATTAGTAAGGTAAGATTTGAAATATGCAAGCGATCCCTCTTATACCATAATGGTCAGTTTGTGGAGTAGGTTCCATGGTCTACGTGTCAAAACCTTTTCTTAGGTTAAAAAAAATTTCCCAGTGGATATTCCTTTTTTTTCCAATGCTGTGTAAAGCGATCTGCATTTTTTGATTGCATTGAAGTGCTTTTATTTTTCCTAAAATTAAACTGGCGGGGGTTTTGAGTATTTTTTGTGCCGTAAAAAAATGAATATAGTCTCCTGTGCACGGTTTCCAAGATTTTGGTCAATGGAAGTTTGTTTTGGCCCTATATTTGTTTAAATCGTAGGGTCCCCACCTTTATGTTTGGGTGTAACCCTTCCCGTCTTGGTATTTTGGGGAATGCTAGTTTCTAGTGATTTTTAAAAAAGAAATGAGATTAGCATGCGAGAGGACAGGGGCCCGCTCTCTTGACAATAAGGTGGGACATGGGGAAGATTCCCTGAGTTTTTTTTAAAAGTGACTTTAAAATCTCGGTGATTCCAGGGGTCGTTGGAGCAAGAAGGGAATTTGGGAAAATTCCCATCTAGGTAGTCCCCGGCATGGGCATTGGTGCGTGGGTTTTTATTGGGCGAGATTAGAAAATTTGGGTTAAAGAAGAAGTTGTTTACTTGTTGCTGTGTAGTGGGATGCAGGGTGTTTCTTTTGGTTTAGTTGGGAAATATTCTTTTTTTTTTTTTCAGTTTGTGGGTCCCTAAATTGAGAGAGTGTTTTTCCAGTCTTTTTATATCTCCCTTGTGCAGTAATCTACTGGAGAGTATATTTTGTTTGGCTTTCTTTATTACTTTGGGAGGACTGATGATTAGTGTTTTGGGAATATCTTTGTGTTTTAAAAGCCCTGTCTTATTGCTTTTCTTTGGTGTTTCTTACAATGGATTTCAGAAGGGTGCTGGTTAGCCATGGGAAAAAAGCCGTTTGTTTGTGATCTGTTTCGTTTTATAGGACAAGTTGGTTGTATGTCAGTAATTTGTTAAAAAAAAGTCTGTCCAGTCATAAATACCATTGGCCTTGGGAGAATTCTGTGGGCCAGTCAACAGTCCTAGGTAGCTGTGCCCTTCCCTTATGAAACTTTTGTTGTATTAAAGTGGTGGTTTACAAATGTTTTTTTGAAAAGTAAAAGGACACAATTTGCAACTAATGTGCATTTACTGTGCACGTTACGCTCCCCGGGAGCTTTATCAAGCCATTCCCTGTGTTTTTTTCTTTACTTTTGTCGGTAATTTTCCCAACTTTTTACTAATGTTTGTCAAGGGGAAAGGTAGGGTAGTGGTTGTGTCTATCTGTGATTATCCCTGATTTAAGGGGGGCTAGTATATTGGTCCTATGGGGTTCTATTTGGTTGCACTTGTTTCATGGCCTGGTTGGTTTAGTTATTGTTGGTATGAAAAGTGTTTTTGTTCATTTGTTATAAAATCATTACGGGCTGATCTCAGTAGGCCAAGGTTGATGTTGAAGCCCCTCCAGCTAAGAGAAGATGGGCTTTTTTAATTTGTCTGTTTTTTATTGTGTTAGTTTCTCACTAAAATTTTGGGGATGTTGTGGGGGGTACCCGGAAAAATGGCACGATTGTAATAGGCGTTTTAAAGGGTTTTTTTTCTTTTAAAATTGAAAAAAATGTATTCTCCATACATCACTAAAGCAAGTGTGCTAATACAGATAATTTTGGGTTTGAGTAATAATTGCAATACCACCCCCAACTTGGTAGGTCGCAGTTGTAGATTGCTGTGATCCCGGTGAGGGTAATATCTTTGTGTCCCTTAAGCCCGGTCCAGTAAGAATAATGAGGAGAAGGGGGTCTTTAGTGATTCAAGGAGTGCCGAGGTCATCAATGTTTGTTAAGGACCTATTTGTAGTTAAGTACTGATAGACTTTTAGCATTGTTTTGGGTAGTGCTGGTTTTGATCTGTGTAGTAAAACAGTTACTTTCCATGGTTTTGATTGTGTGTCCCCAAAATTTGGGGTTTAGATCAGGGTCAATGTGATCAATCTCTTCTACGTTTAAATGGGTTTTTTAATCCCGAGTTGTGGGTTTAGCTTTTGTACTGATTCTGTAGTGGGGAAGTTTGGACAAGGTATAGTATACATTTTGGCATGTAAGTATATCACTAATACACATAATGGATTTGGGGTTGTCTATGTGTTTGGGAATGGGTAAAGTACAAATAGGGATAAAAAAATAAATAAAAAATACAATTTTAAAAAAAGCACAAGCTCCCAAAGTAATGACTTGGTATAGTTATGTATTAGCTGAATGAGCTATGACAACTGAGTTTAATCAAGATATAAAAAAGGACAAGTCTCAATTGTAATTGCACTAAAGGGGTTATATAAGTTGTTTACAAGAATTAGAGTAAACTAGTTTAAATTGAAAAGAAAAATATGCAAGTTAAGGTAGCAAAAAAACAAAAAAAGTAGAAAAAAAAAATATATGAGGGAGTTTGGGACTAGTTAGCAAAAGATAGTTTTGGGCCTTGAACAAAAAATTAAATTGAAATTACACAAATTCAACCAATATGTCACTAAATATGAAACAAATTTTGAATAGGGCTAAAATTATAAACTTTTAAATAAAAAACAAATTTTAAATGGTACTTTCAATTGCATAGGGTCTGGGGATAGGTGTTGCGAATCAAAGTATAAATAATTTTAAAA